TTACTTGATTATCTGGTCCTATGACAAACAGTCAAATAAACTCACCTGCAGATCCTGTGTCACTACTATCATGTCTGGATGTGCTTCAAGAGTAATATATCCAACCATCGTGCATGGAAAAAGGATGAAACAAATCCATATTACATCATGCTACTAATATGCATTCAGAGCTCACACTGTAATAGTTCTGAAGTGAGCATTATGGTTTATGCAAAGAGTATGCCTGAAAAAGTAACACACAAATTCTTAACAAGCCCCTTGGCAGCATATCAGACTTGAAGGACCCTCAAAGCTGAGAATGTAAAAGGCATTTCCTCCCTTTATTTATCCCTATCATAGAAATATTTTTTTCATTTCCTTTACTCTGGTAGCTGACAAAATAGCCCAGTTCTAAATGGTATATACCAGAATCTGGCCCAAAATTAGGTGGTAACAGCTGCTGCATTACATATGCCAGCGCTGACAGATAAACTCAGAATCTCTCACAAACCAAACTACTCTACATATGTTTACTTCAGCACATACAGACCAAGTTAAGATTTACAGATCAAAGCTGTTGCTTGTTAATCATGTTCTTAGCAGGGAACAGGAAAATAAGATAAATTAGAGTGCAGAGGCTGAATGAGTTCACTTCCTCCCTTAGCACCATGGGGTCCACTGGGGAACAAAAATTATGTAGGTCCTCCTCACATTTTTGTCAACACTGTAGCTCCAAGTAGAGGTTTGCACCTTTTCCTGAAATGTAATCTCTCCCCCAGCCCTTCAAACTTACACAGCTCTTTCGAGCACATACTCAGTGTCCACTCCTGGGGCTTCAGTGGCTTCACCCTGAGACCACGACGTTTTGGCAAGGACATGCCCTTTATGGCCAGCATCCAATGGACCTTTTTCACAAAATGCATTTGTGCCTGCAATGTATTTTAACACACAGAAATACAATCATGAGTTATTGTAAGTGTAGCTTTTGTGGCTGAGTTAACCCAACATTATTGAATATTTTTAGGGCAGATGCCTTAAAACTTTTTTAAAGTGTGTACAGCTGATTTATAACACAAGAAAAAATATCTTTGTTTCCTTGAGTTCAGTGAACTGTCAGATATTAGTGGCGTATACATAAACAAGAATAAAAGTGTTTTGCACAAAATCATGCATAAATTATGTCAGACAACTGAAAAATTGTATACATTTATTCATGTTTTAAAATAATCCAGGCACAATTTTGCAAATACATAGAAGCACATTCTCCAAATGGTAGCAAAAACTAAGTAACATATAGCAAGAAAACACATGGGAAAACATACAAAGTAAGTACAAATAGTATGAAAGTCTTCCTAGTCTACAGTGGTATCTGCTATCAATACACTTGTCAGCATTACAAAAAGGCAACCAAAGAATACAAGTAATAAATTGTGTGACATGAACGGCCTAAAAAAGTTTACGTTAGCAGCATATAGTAGCAACTTTCTAAGAACAGAAGAATGCTTGCACACTGTATATAAATGCATATATGCACACATATACAGATACAACTGGAAGGCCACAGGAACAAAATTACCCTGGGAAAATGATGAAGGGAATTTTTGTGTGTCTCGCAGTATATAAAAACAATGCATGCATTAGCAAGCACCCCGCATGTTCAGGATAAAATTACATCCACGAGCAGAATCACATTAACTTCATCAAACATACCACTTACAATGCTGTACCAATGCTGGATCACTTTGTCCTATATCACACTCCTGATTTATGGAGCACATTTGGATGGTAAATTTAGGAAGAATCAGAAGCCTTTGATTCCCGTGATTTGACAGGAGGAATCAGATCCCAAATTTGAAAGAAAAATACCCATGGAAAAAAAATACCCATGCAAAGCCTGAGTTACAATATGTTCTAGCAGGAATTCCACTTTCCTGTGGGACAGTCCAGTCCAGTGGCCTCACTAACTGAGCTTTAGCTTGCACGATGGAGTGTTCCTGAGGATATGCACCAAATTCCTTTTGGATGTAAACAAAGGATGTGCTCCGATCACTAGTGGCATTCAGCCCCTGGGATCAAACTAAAGATAAGTGTGAAGATCAGGTCCTTAGCACCAACAGTTTCAGGCTACAGATCCTATCCAGCTAAGCTAATTCTTTGCTAAAACAGATGCAGGCTTTGGACATACACAGAATAAACATTTATCAACAAGTACTATAAGCTCTATTTACCATGTAGATTAGTTTTAGTTGTTATTAGTTGCCCCTACCTGATAAAAAAGGGATGTTCCCTAGAGACACTCGTGTTTGCAGATGTGTGTGTGTGTGTGTGTGTATAAGGAGGGCACAGGGCACACAATTTGTTTTTTGTTCAACCATCTTCAGAAGTACTATTTTCGGTAGCAAAATTATGAAAAACTCTGCAGACATCTTAACCAATCTTCTACATGTTCAATTCTCATTAAAAAGATACTCCCATAAATATAAAAACTTTGTGATCATTGTCCTTCTTAACCTCTTAACATCGTCACTGTCAAAAAGAATCATTCCCAAGTTACACTCAGGATGTGAGATTTCCTTAAAACAGAACATAGAATTGTGATTATGAATGCCAGAGTAGGTTCACAAAAGCAAGCTGAACTATTTCTGATATTTCAGTGAAAAATGTCAAATTTAGTAATTATTTTCTGACTGGTTTCAACAGTTTATTTGCTGCCAGCTGCTAATGGCACTCACAGAGCTCCAGCAAAGTGCTCTGGGCAACACATGATATGAGAGAAAGAAAAAGTACTACTTCTGCTGCTTGAACTAAGCTTACACAAAACTTACATTATTTATTATAATGAAGAATAAAATGTGTAACATGCTATCATGCATAATACATGGTAAGAACATGCATTAGTTCAAGTTTACAGTCTCTCCAGTAAATTAGAACAGCAGTGGCAGATGTTGATAGCTGCATATTTTGAGGAATTCCCAGAAATTGCAGCTAGCAATGTTAAAAAAGACATGAAATCAGCTGTTTAAGACACCCATAAAATAGTAACTCTTTGTGAATTAACAGTACAAACAATAACAAAACCCAGTGATATCTCTCCTATCATTCCAAGAAACTGAGTTCAGCACCTGAGGTGAGACTGTGCCCCAAGCAAATCACGCTGCTGACAGGAAAGTGTGTCCCTGCTCTGACTCTGCATCTGCAGGGGGAATTCAGCACTTTCCTCATCCACAGAAGGGGGGGATGGGCAGGCTTTGTGTGGATCACAGGCTGCATAAGTCAGATGGAGAATTCTTCTCCAGTGGGGCTCCAAAGGGCCCAAAGCTGCAGCTAGATGGGGACCTACAAAAGCTGGGGGAGAAGGCCCAGATGTGTCACACATGTTAGTATGACTTCCACAGAAGAAGATCTTTTCTTTCTCCTTCAGCCCCTTCTAGAGGGTTTGTCTAAGAGACTCTAATCCAGAACAGACACACAAGACTTCTGTAGATTATGCTAGACAAGGTTTACAAAAAGATTCCCCTTCCCTAAGACTTTAGCTATATAAATCACAACAATAGCCAGAAAAATATGTATTAATCTGGTGGCTGGCTTCACTCCTCTATGGTTAAGTTTCATTCCTGTGCATCCTCTCAGGAAAGAAGGAACAGAACGAGACACATCTGTTGAAAATGAATTTTTGTTGAATGTTGAAATTTCCTCCCCAAAGGAACTAAATATACTCAGGAAAAAGAGGACATTTTTTAGTAAATACATGACTGTTGCTCACAGTACATCACAATGCCCACAGTACATCACAATGCCCACAGACAGCTCCTGTGTGACACTAACACCGAGTTTCCCTCTTGTGGGTACCCTAAGGTTCATCATGAACAAACTCCAGGCTTGCTTGAGCACAACTAAAGACACACTACTTCTGACATACATGCAGAAAAAAAAGACAGCAAATTATAAGCATCAATATGTAAAGTGCTTCTGATTGTCTAGTTATTAAGAGCAACATCCAGTTACAATTCACAAGGGATCACTTATTTAATTCTTACTTACCTGGACATATCTTCTGGTTGAGCATCTGTGCTCTGCTACCAGCTATCTTTGCATGGGGTCCTACTTCAGTCCAGCCCACAAGCAGGTGAATAATGGAAGACCACCAGCATCAGCCCTCCAAGAGTTGGATGGGCTTCTCTTTATTAATTCTGCAAAGCATTATGTGCACATGGTACTTCCCAGACAAAACACAGCTTACCTTAGCACCCAGGAGTGCAAAGATTTTACTGGTGTAGGTGCTGTACTCATGAACTTCCCAAAACCACTTCCATTAGTTTTGAAGAGAGTCCTCAGAGAATCCTAAATCAATGAGTGTTCAGACAATTTGTGTCAGGCTGACTTCTTCATCCCTGGTGGTGTTTATGTGGAAATATTTAACAACACAGAATTTGCCTCCATTTTTTCCTGTAAAGGGCATGCTTTCCCATTGCTGGTAATTCCTACTAGAGAGAGTAGGACAATTATTCTGCACAGGAGCTAAAGGCATTCGAAGAAACTGAACACTTTAGTAAAGTATTTCCAAGAGAGATCAACGGGTACTCCTTGCCTAAAGCACTTTAGGGGCATTTTTTAGAAGTTGGAACACCATCTGCTCCTAAGTAGAGCTCTCCATCAGTCCTTCCCATTTACTGATGTAACTGATAGGAGCAGACTGCAGATGGAGCCTCCCAGCCCAGATGGAAAGGGAATTTGGCCGGATACATAGACTAATTTTCTTCTTTCTGAGAAGAGACATTGGTATAAGCAGAAGGATGTGATCTGGACATCTAATGGGGATGAAAAGGTTGGGATGATGTCTGTTATGTCAGTTTGGAAAGAAAAAACAACACTTTTTAATTTTATTCAGTCAATTATCTATGAATAGTAATTAGCTGGTCAAAAAGATTTTTTTTTTTAATGAAAATTTCTGCTCCTATTTTAAACTTTCTACTTTGGAAACAAAAAGTCAGAAGGTAACACAACATAAAACATAAAGTATATTAAAATTTAAACATTTATTAAAACCAAGCCATTTGTGCCCTTTTATTCCCTCTCTTTAAAAAGAGTTTATTTAACCTCCCCACCCCCCCCATTTTAAAAGAAACTTCTAATGACTATTCAGCTCACTAATGGCAAAAAAAAAAAGGCCAAACTATTTTTGAGCATTCCTCTATTAGTAGCAACATGAAAATGCATTTTGAAAACCTCAAGTAAACTCCCTGCTTGTTTTATACTCATGAGTAGCTGATTAAAATAGGACTGCTTGAATGAATAAGCAATTAGGATATGATTACATTCAGGTAAACTTTAGTAGTTTTATCTTAAAGAATTAATAAGTGATTCTCAGCTGATTTCTTAACTGCTCTCAGGTGAACCACCAAGATCCCTTATACACATCCAAGTACTGACATTATTTCTTTAGTACCACAGCTGGTTTTTAACAGATTTCAAGCAAGTAATTTCTTTGTAGAATCATCTTTAATGCAGTGGTCACAGTTACTTACTCATATAATAAAAACCCTGTAAATATGCATTTAAGTTATGCTAAAGACAGGCTCATTTAAATAAGAGAACTGATGTTTATTTTCTCTAGTACGAATGTTTCTGCTGCAATGTTTCTGAAGTAGATTGGCTCTTACTGCAAATCCAGGCAGAGAGCAACACTTACTTTGCTCTGTGACACCTGAACTCTAATTGTGTTCTCAATTTTGTGTACGTTTAGATGTTCTTAGAGCTGTATTTTTCTTAGCTATTCTTTGTGATAGTGTTTCATGTAGCATGCAAGCACTCTTCAAAGAACTTCAGAATGAAGCACATATTTTACAACACGTTTATGGTGAACTGGCAAATATTATCTTAAAAACTTTCACAGGTGTTTCACAGCAGCTGAACACAACTCAGGCAGAGCCCTTATGCTCACTGGGGAGAAACACTTTTGGGGAGAAACACTGTTTCATGAGGACACTTCCATGTGAGTCTGTCCCACCCAAACAATTTCCATGTGCAGCACTTTCATAGTAGTATCTATTAACCCAAAAACCTTCTAAATAGAAGTTCAGTTGGCCTGATGTTCTTCTTCTCAGTTCCTCTTCTCTGAAGGGAATGATTAGATTTCCTAGGCTGTCCTGTAAAATATGTGTGGAACATTCTTCCTAATTCTGCATGTCCTGCGTGTTTCAAATCCTGCCTTACAATTTTTTATTAGCATTCCATATATCCAGCCACCCATCTGAACTGAAAAGATGCATATGGTGATAAATCTGGTTTTGTTACTACAGCTCTTCATCCAGCCATGACCCTTTTTCCCCTTTTGATTTCATCCCATGTTGTATCAGTCTACAGCTGATTTTAAACTCCATGGACAAGAAACAGCCAATTTTAATTACTGGTATATCACAGCATTGCCTGTAATTTTCAGACACTTTGGGTACCTTTTCTTCAAAGCATTATACAAATGAATTGAAAATGGGAATACTGATCTCAACAGCTTTCAAAAAAGTCAGTCAAGAAAGGAAGTAGGAAAATACTATTGTTCTCCTTTTCCAAACAGGAAGGTTATGCCAGAAATCTGCGACAAAGCCTGTGTTTGAATATAGATCTTAATCCAAGACCATAAGCATGGCCCCAGCCTTTGTCTGACAACCAGAAGAGAGTACTAAAGTAAGCAGTGAAAGCTGAGCTATATTAAAAAATAAAATCAGAGAACTTCATTTCTGGTAGAAAATAGAAGGGGCAACAGAGATGACACCTTGGAATCACCTACCAACAGGAACAAGAAACCAATGATCAGGAGGAGGAATACTGGTGAAGAGATTTCCTCCCTATCCTATGAGTTGGAGCTGTTGATGAAGAATATATATGCAATGAACATATAAAATATAGATTTATATATACAAATATACAATAGGAAATAGTCAGTATACAAATACTTACATGTAAAAATAGCTTTTTACTTTCCCCTTTTCTTGATTTACAGAAGCATACAAAGTTTCCTGTTGGTTAATGTTTAAGTAGTGTGAGTAAACCCTGTGTGACATGTTCCACACATAATTCCTTCAAGTGTTCACAGTATTGGCTATTACAGTGTTGAGTCTGACATTCCAGATGTTAAGATATTCATAGGACACATTCTAAACTTAAAGCATTAGTTTAAATACAGTTCAAATAAAACTCACATGTGTAGTTGAATTATGGTCATGTCACAAATGAGTCTGCTGTAGTTGAAAACTTTCCATGACAGTAAGCTTTAAAATACATACTTAAACTAGAGATGAGTATATTTTAAGATTCTTGAACTGCCTTTTAATGTGCAGTTAATACTGTGAGATGGGGAGTTCTTTCAACTTCATCTGAAGCAACGCAAGCTGATAGAACTCAGTATTGCAAATTATCCTCAGTAGGAAAGCGGATGCACAGAACAATTTGCCATCATAGCCAGACACACTGTCACTTTCTTCAAATACCCAACAGACAAGAATAAATGACAGGTACCATTGTTTTTGTGATAAGAATAAATGATATGGAGCATTCTGCATCAGGAAAGTGCTTTAAATTAAATTAAATTAGTCCTCACAACTCCCTTGTGAGGTAGATAGACACTATCCTTGTTTTTAAAGATGGAGAAACTGGAGATCTAAAATAAATTATGATGGCTGCATGAGAAATACTGTCAAAATACTGTTATTTGGATGTTGGAGCAAGTCAAATGCACAGCTGGAGTAAATTGAGATATTCATGAGACAACTTTAAACTCACCAGCTTGGGTACTGACAGTAGGCTTGGTAAAACAGCCAAAGCTTCATCATGGGCAGCAAAACACAATCTTTTTTGCCAAGTGCCATTCTGTTGGAGCTGAACTGTGGGACAACAGCTTCAAAAAGCACAAACTACATAGTCCCAGGTGGTGCAGACTGACCAGGATGGAAGGAAGCTGCATTTCAGAAGTTATGAATTAATCAGGAATCTTGAGCAGGTAGTATCTTCTCTCGAGAGTTGGGTACAGTTCAAGAACCATGCTTAGCTCATCTCTAATTTTACCATATATGCAAGTGCTCACAATATATTGTGTATCAATATATTCAGGTGTTTTTTAAAATTTATTCACTCGTGGACCTTGGAGGTCTGTATTTTTCCTCACATTTCTCTTGCCAAAAATTTCTACTGATACCACAAATGGAACTAGTGCTTCAGTAGAGCAAATGAGCTACAAATAATAATTTTAAATATCTGAGATGATGGACAATGTTCAAAGGACCACCATGTTCCCTGTGTGTACCTGTATATACAGGAAATCTCATCTGTCTTTAACTGCTCCTGTCTTGAAATAAAATCCAGTTAAAAGTATAAAGTGCATAGTGTGGATTAAAACCCTAAGAAATAACAAACAATGTGTCTGCCTTCCACAGATGATTAATTTTGCTTAACAGCTGAACCAACACCCTCCTTGTCTTCTGGTTTTTAGTTTAGTGTTACCTAGGCTGAGAAAGGCCAGCCATATGTAAGCAAAACTTTTGTAAACTGAGACATTTTTGTAATATGCTGTTAAGGGAGAGTTAAGTAAACCAGTATCAAGACACTGTCCAGTTGGGATGAGTAAATATTATTGTGTGCTTCTTGGCCCACTTAGCAAATACTTTCTTTTCTGTGATAAACCTGTGGCCTCCATATGGAGCATTTTCATGGAGAAAGTATTCCTCACATTCATCTCTTCCTGGCTCATAATAGTGGTAGGGAACTTTACGAAAGCCTTCTGACCTAGGGAGAAGAAAGGTATACTTAAGTACTATTTTCAAGAAGAACACAAATATATAATATACCTGAATACAAGATACAAGCATCCTGGCTTGGATCAGCAATAGTGTGGCCAGCAGGACCAGGGCAGTGATTGGCAGTGCCCTGTTCTCAGGTGGTGAGGCCACTCCTCAAATCCTGTATTCTGTTTTGTGCCTCTCATTACAAGACAGACACTGAGGTGCTGAAGGGAGTCCAGAGAAGGACAACAGAGCTGGTGAAGGATCTGGAGCTCAACTCCCATGAAGAACAACTGAGGCAGCTGGGGGTGCTCATTCTGGAGAAAAGGAGGCTCAGGAGGGACCTTATCATTCTTTACAACTGCTTGAAGGGGGTTGAAATGAGGACAGGGTTGGTCTCTACTCCCAAGGGACAAGTGACAGGACATGAGGAAACTGTTTCAAGCTGCATCATGGAAAGTTCAGACTGGATATTTGCAAAAATTTCTTCACCAAAAGGGCTGTCAAGTACTGGAACAGGCTGCCCAGGGAAGTGGTTGACTCACCAGCCCTGGATGTATTTAAAATATGTGCAAATGTGGCACTTGGGACACAGTTTAGTGCAGACCTGGTAGTACTGGGTTAACAACTGAACTTCATGATCTTAAAGATCTTTCTTAACCTAAGCAATTCTATGACTGATCTGAAATCCCTTCCATGTGTCAGCACTTAAACTCCTTTGCTAAACTGTAAGGGCTTTCATTTCATTATAATTTCTAGGAATTTTCCTAAGGCAGAAGAAGCTCACTGTATCTCTCAGCATACACCAATCTTGTCAGTAAGACGTCAATGGGCTGGCTCTTACAGCCACTGAACATTTTGTTTAACCTGTGATAACTCAGCTCACAAGGCTCCCTCCCTAAGGAAAGTCTTCTCATGGGATAGTCCCAGCTGTTAGAGCTAGTTCTTGAACTGGCCGAACAAGGCAGTTATAACATCCAGTATAAGTAGGTAATCCAGTCAGAATCACAGCTTTAAGGAGACATCCTTCTCTGCTGCCAACAGTGCTATCATTCTGTTGACTGGTTTTACATCAGGGCTATGCAATGCCAGCCTGGCTGAGCTCTCTAAGGACAACCTTAGTCCTGTCACCCCTCATCTCAGGGTGCCTACTGTGTGTTTTCATAAACAAAGAACAACATATGTTCATTCTGTTCATTCCATCTGGATGACTCAATCAGTGAGATCTGCAAGCTCTAAAAAGTCAGCCTCTAATGTTAAGATATCCTAATTAAACAGCTGTGACTCAAATTCTGTTGTTTGTGACATTTTTTAGGTTCTGCCAGGAATGAGTCTCACACTGGAGTGACACAGAATGTGGAATGAGAATCTGCACCAAGGCTTGACTTGAGGAGCTCATGACCCACTGGACTGGTTACATGCAGGACTTGGACCAGCTTAGGTACAGAATAGCTGTGTATGCATTAGCAGCATACATTTTTCATGACACTTCCTGCTTTTCTGAATACATGAAGAATAGTTTCATTTTATATTTTTCTACCATACATAGTAGATTAAAGTATTTAACATCGACTTTTAAAAATTGTGTTTAGACTTATACTTCTGACAATAGGATTAATCCACTGTCACTGTAAGGTCAGCAACAGCAGTTGGTTGGAATTTATGTCAGTTTATGGTGATAAAGCTCACAGGACTTGTTTTATTGTCTAATTAGAAACCTCTACTACTCAAAACAAGCTATATATAACCTAGAAAGTTCAAATAGGTGGCTCAATGGTGGTGAAATGTAATTTCAGGTAACTATCCTGGGCTAATCATTTTATTTCACTTCCAGGTGTGTTTGGTATTCAGAAAATAATGTATTCGTTTTTTCCTCTATAGATTTATTTTAGCAGTGGAAGCAAGTATATTTTATCAAAAGAATATGAGCATACTTTGTTTCCAGCTAATTCAGAAACGGCAAAATATCTTTGATTAAAAATAGTTCCTTATGACAACTGATGTTAGATTTTGTAAATGTTTTTATTTTATCAACAGCACATGCCATATCAGGAGTGAATATGCTGACAATAGTGTCATATCAATGCAAAACACTGGGAAATGACTGCCTGATCCATTTTTTGGATTTATGATATTAAAATCAATTGTGAAATTTTGACAAGACATCAGAATTGTAGATGCATGAAAATAAGTTTCTATGATCTTACTTGCAGTAGGTGTCATTTATCATCCCATAGACGTGAATTCCATAGCAGGCATCCATAGCCAAAATTAAGGTAAACCAACCCGTGCTGAGATACGAACCTGACTGGACTCTGTAAAAATACAACATACACAAAATAAATTGCAATGAGAAATTATCAACATTTTATCAAAGAAATACAATCTATTGCCTGGGACAAAAAGCATTAAGCAGCTTGAAAATCTGTCAAAATCATACAATTACTTTGAATTATTTATAGATATACTCTCATTCTTCCCAGCTTGGGGCCTCCAGCTTTTGTCCATAGAAAAAAAATACCATGCTAAATATCTGAAGTCAAACAATACATCTCCAGTAAAACAGAAAATTATTTCACATCTGAAAGATAGCAATTAGTGGAGTTTGTGAAATGAGATAAAGTTTACCAAAATGCAAAGTACTGTTGGAATTTGTGGTGTGTGCATTGAGTAGGTACCATCTCCTTCTGCAAGCAAAATCTTAATCTGCAGTGGGCTATCCTTGACCTGAAAATTCACACAGTAATGTAAAGTGTTCCAAGGATATTTTGGTACAAAGCCATCTAATATAAGGTTCTCAAAACCAAAATTTGTGCATATCCCCTTACATAATTTTGTGTTATGATTCTTTGAGCTAACATAGCAGAGAGAAAAAACCACAAGAGGATAGTGCCCAGATTGACAGATTCATTCTCAGCTCAAATGACTAGATATATTCAATCAGCCTAGAAGTATGACCTGCACGAGTGAGAAAAATTGCATGTGTAAGGATCTGGCTCACAGACTGGCTGTCTGAGCAAACACATGCATTGTTAACCACAAACCAAATCCTGTTTGCTCTGCTCACACAAATGTTACCAATGAGGGACTGGGAGTCAGAGGAGTTACCCAGATAACCTGGGCATGCAAGACTCACTGCTTTCAAACCTCAACAAGTAGTGAGAGCACACTCAGCCCTTGCTGCTTATGAACTGGTTGAAGTCCAGCTTTGTGCATGTACTGCTTTCAGTTTGACTGAAATCAGTGAAAATAATTATCTCTAAAATATTTTAAAATGCCTCATTTCCAAAGAAAGGTACCACAAAACTCACAAAACTGTCTTAATAGAGCACCTTAATAGAGCTGGGTGTGAGTGAGAGGAGGGGATATATGAGCTTTCTGCCACACCTATAAGCTCTTAGCTTTTGGGTATGGCAGGGAGCAGTCTGTTCTCCATCCTAAGTTAAAGCAGCCTAAGGCTTGCACACAGTTAAGTTTTGCTGTATAAGAGGCTTACTCCCAAGTAAGCCTATGTGAAAATCAGTTATTGCCACCAACAAAATCTGAAAACATTTTCATCCTGGGGTAGGAATAAAATTTTCATGTGGAAAAAAAACCCTATTGCAATTTACCCAGCCTATAAGCCCCAACTTCCCTGTAAGACGAAAGAACCAACCTCAGATGTTTTTTCCTGGTTCAGAGCAAGAATGTGTTCCAGTCTCATGCCTCACTCCTCCTGCATAAATACACCAATCAGTAGCTTTTGGTACAGATTCTGTGTTACTTCCTTGCACAAGTTGAACTAAATATTATTTAAGACAATGGGTGAAAAAATATTTGTACAACTTTTATCATGACAATTACCTGGCACATATAGGTCTGAGATTCAAATTCCTTCTCTTTGTAATACCTTTGATTATGGATAGTAGAAAAGCTCCAAGAGCTTTACGTTCCTAAAGAAACTCCAGTCCATCCAGTTTAAATAAACCTTAGGGTTTTTTTAGTGAAAAACAATTACCTCGATTCCCAGAGGTGAGTCCAAGAACACTGAAAATAGTTAAATATTCTCCTTCTTGCCCATGTCTGTCATCCTTCATGGGTGAGCCAGAGTGAACTTCTACCCCTGCCTTTCCTGAAATAGACTTTCCCTTGGAGAAACAGCTAAGAATCTGTTTAGCTGTTTTTGTAAATATCATACTGGAAACAATAAATAAAGAGAAAATAATAAATAAACTGAAGAAGGACAAGTGGAAACTAAAGGCAGTGTGTCAAACACCCATGTCTCATTATGTGGATACCAACTGGAATTGTGCTTCTTTTTTGACACCTTGATAGCCAGGAAAATGTAGAGCTATTTATCTGTCCCATCAGGATCTTCATCTCTTCAACCAGAATGTTCTGCTACTGTCTAGCAGTGAGAATTCCCAATCCAATTCATGTTATTTCGAAATAACATTCTGCCATGATAAAAGGCTGCATTGCTTCTAACTTGCTTTCTGCTCTTGCACCAGGAAAACACTGGCCTTGAGCTTTCAAAGCATTTTAGAATCATAATAACCACTTATACGAACACGATGAAGATCAGGACCCTTCCAATAATGGAGGTTTATTGGAGAGCACTATATTGACAGTAGCATCTGAAATTTGCTATACTCAGGAGGAAAAAGGAATTTTAAAAAAGAATTAATCAATATTTCATGTCTTGTTTTAACACCATTGGACCTTAGTCCTCTCATCTATATACTGCACTGGCAGGATAAATAAAAACAGCAGAGTGAGTTCCCAGGTACGTTCCCTGGGAGATGAAGTACATGACAGAATACAGATTATATACTTTAAACCAAAGCACTTATATTCATCCCATTTTTTCCTCTGAAGATACACAGGGATATGAGGGAATATACTTAAGCAGTGGAGATTCTGGATGATTTGGTAACACCTTAGAATTCAATCTGATGCCATAAACATACTTTCAAAATTCTAATGAAAGCAATACTAGAAATGTGAAAACAATTTTAGCTGTCCCTAAAAAGCCATAAATCTCTGAATACCTTTTAAAATATCATCCCATAAAACTGTAGTGCAAAGTAATGTCTCAGCCCTTGCTATTATGCTAACACTGTGCACTCAATTTCCCTCTCTACAGGAGAGTTTTACATGTTTCTTGGTCAGGGGTTTTTTGAGACTTTAGAAAAAGAGTTCTTCTTGTTACTGTAATTGCACTCAAATTTCAAATTTTACACATAGGAAATAAAAGAATCCTCCATTTATGTGTAGCATAAATCTATGTAACTACACAAATAGGGGGGAAGGAGGATATTAATTCCAAAATCGGGTAAACAGGAGTTTGTTAAACATCATCTGTAGAACTACAGTAGGCAGATCTATTGTGAATAATATATCTGTGTGCAACAATCCCCAAATTGTTTCCTAGGGCTCAGAGAGACTGTTTTTAATAGTATAAAATTAATGGGGTACCAGATCTGGACAGGAAATTGTCTCAACAGCTCAGAAGAAAATAATGCACTATTTTAAAAAAGATGGCTTAGCTTTCAAGACATGATTTACAGCTGAATGCTGTAATAATGTGCAGCAATAAAAAGGCAATGCTCACAAAAAGTTACTTTGTTTACCTTAAAAATGAAAGCTTATTTTGCATACTTCCTACTTTATTAGTGTTCTTAAAGAAACTATAGTTATTGGTTGTAATTCATTCTGCTAAATACCATCCACCATTTCAGAAAAATACATAGGCATATGCTTAACATTAAGGACATGAAAAGACCAGTGGAATAAACTTAGTTAAAATGCATGAAACGAAGTATATGCTTGCTTATCTTGCTCTTAGTGAAGGTTTAAGTGCTTAAAATGTCATTATTTAATCTCAGAATATAAAAGTAAGCTCCAAGATTAATAGTTACTTGAAAGTTTCAAGTCTCAAAACATAGAATTTGCATTTTTAGTAATGCCTTCCATAAACTCCAGCAGAAAAAACTGATTACAGTTTCTCACAACATGTTACAAAAGAGTCTTGCATTCTATATTTCAGAAGAAAATAGTAAAACAGAATTTTAGGATTGCTAGAGTTGTAATATGTGACACATAAAGCTTTAATTAAAAACTAATTTAAAATAGAAGCAATTAGACAGGGCTCTTCAGCTTTAACTTTCCACTATTTCACAAAAAGAATAAGAAATTGATATAAAAAAGATGGGATAGAGAATGCACCATAAAAATGTTGGCAATTGAATTAATCTTCTTTGACATCTATAACTGTGCTTTGATCTAGGCTAAATGAAGGAAAAACTTATTCTTTCTATCACTAGGGGTAAATGGAAGAACATAAAATATTTTCTTGGTGATCCAGGGCAGGTGAGTTCAAATTGAGTAAAAGTTTTGTTGTCACTTTAGTTCTGATTCTAGCACAGAATTCCAGGAAGTTCTTTTCTTCATTCAGTTGTTCCAGGATTTTTTATGTGCACAATCAATTTTAGCTCTATGGTTCAATGGAGTGTTATATCCAGTGGGGACTTCAGTGGTAAAAAATAAAAATGAAAAAAATGTTTGGGAAGGCAGAGGAGATGTCTACACAAGCAATTGCATGTCAATCTGATTGCAGAAAAGAACTTAGAAGTCTGGTTTTTAATTCTTTTGGGAGAAACTAGAGATCACAGAAGGTCAATTAAGAGTGTTAATTAAGATAAAAACCAAGGAAATTTAGTACTTCAAAAAGCTATTAATTAACAGAGAGCTTGCCAAAAGCATTAGATAGACACTTTTCCTCTTTGACTTAATTTCAAAATATTGCAGTAAAGTAAAATTCAACAATGACAGATTGAAATGACAAAATTCTCCAGGCCAATTAATTGACAAAAAGTACATCTTTTCATAAAGGCTGTTTATAGAATCTAATCCTCAGATGACTCTCCTACCAAACCACTGAATCAGCAGCAGCTTTATTTGCTGCAGCTTGTCAGGCATCTTGATTAATAAATAAGTATAAATAAGAGTATTGGTCTAAACAAACTAAGAGACCTATAATACATGGAGTAGAGGATTTATAATGTAAGATACCCTTCCAACAAAAATGTTTGTTAAAATGATTCAACAGAAACAGAAATTTTTCAAAAATAAGTCAGGATTAATTTGGACTATGTTCAAATAGAACTGTCTCTTATTTATTAACTGTCTCTTATTTGTATCTCTGTGCATCAAGAGACCATTAATCCTGTGGGAGGGGGTCAGGGTACTCTGGTTTTGCCTGGCACTCTGTCACATGCCCTGTGTCAGCCTCATCTATGACAGGTCCTTGGGAATGAGGGTGGAAGGTACATGT